TATATCCCTTTCATCCTTACCCCCCTTGGCATCAGCCTTCACCTCATGTCGTTTAAGCTGGCACCGCTTCCGCTGCCGTAGATAGGACGCTGAACACTTGGAGGAGTGGCTCCAAGCTAGCCCGCAGGCTCCAAAACACAATAAACATGAGAATCCGTAGTACGACAGGAAGAGAGCGGCAAGGCAGTACGGGAGGACACTAATATAAGGGCTAATATGAGGTATAGACAAGACTAGAGCGTCGCATGTTACATAAGTAGATAGCTGCCCTATTGGAGGGATCTCCACCGGGCGTAATAAAGTGTGTGTGTGTGTGGGTACAGTACAATGCTCGATGTGTTCAACCTACATTTCTCGGTTCCGTTAAGTCTTGCGAGGACACATTCGTAGTGGTTGGGCAGCCTCGCACCAACAGACTTCATTTCTAGCTCACCCAAAGCGACTTATGTGTGGATATAATGGTTTAATATTAGGGTAGATCCTGTCCGCTAACAAATTGTTGAACCTCGGGCGCGGGAATAGGGTTGGACGGATAGGAGCAAATATGATATTTGGTTTTGGTCGGTGGCCGGGTGGGAAGCGGCGAGAAGGAAAAAGGGTTGTCTCTTGTAGTCGCTTCGTTGATTTGAGCTCGCATGGACGAAGAGCTGAAGAAGACTCTAAATGGGCAGCTGAAGTAAGCGAAACGCAAGGGGAAGAAAAAAAGAGTTCGGCGGTCTGTTGGGGTCCAGAGCGGGCGGATGTGACACCGACAAACGAGCTGGTATTGTGGTCAAGGGTGATGCAGGTGTGAACGAATAGAGGTCGACCTCGGGAGGTGACTCAACAATACCGCTCGCTACAGCGGCTAACAGGTTCACGGGAGTCTCTTTGATTTTTAAGAGGGCGGCATAGCTTTGCACCTCTTCGATGACCGTGCGTATGGCATGTAGGCTGCTTTTAAAACTAGGCTCCTCCTCTTAGATAGGTTCCCTTTGTACAGGCTGTTCTTGGATGAGCTGTTCTAGTGTAGACCCCTCTCGCTCCTCTTGAGTTAGTGTTTTCGGAACTAAGGTGTGATTATGCTGCGAGAATCGAATTTCCGTACGATGTCTGATATGCCAGATCCTATTTCTGTCCTCTCTAACCGTAATGGAGTATGGACACAATTTGTTACACGCGCAGATAATCGATGAGAGCTTGTAGTATTCGGCCTCCTTACTATAAATCTAGTCCTCGGACCGACACCCATGTATTTGTAAATAGAAACAAGTCGTCTTGAGAGTAAAATACATTGTAAGGAGGAGGAAGGCAGCCGTTGGAAGACATGGTTTTGTTGTTGGAAATCTTAGTGAAGGAGTGTGAGAGTTTGGGACGGCAGGAAATTACAGCGGGGGTGTTACGGCGGGCTTACAGCGGGTTACTGACTAAGTGGGGACCCGTCAGTGTACAGCCCCGTGAGCCTATTAGCCGCCGGAAAAGGGGCTGGATTTCAGTTGGACCAATTTCATTCCGTACATATGTCGCGATCGAGCCTCGCGGAAAATGCGTGAGTTAGCTTCTCTTCGCAACTACCACTCCGCCATTCCACCTACAAGTACCGGGATCTCTTACACCAATACATTTTGCCAGATCTACTCCTGAAAGACGCTCTTAACCTCTGTGGCAACGCCTCCCTCGCGTCTCCCTCTACATGCTCGGTTCCGTTGGCTGCGCAACACCGCCGGCTCCTTCTGCAGTAGTCGGAAGCTGTGGTATTTCGAGTGACGGCGGTAGCTTCGTGTCTTTGGGCCGTAGGATAGTGTCCGCAGCCTACTATAAACATGGTGTGACGCATTGACAGGTTGCGGGCGTGCGGCTGACTAAGTACCGTTCTAGACACAAATGAACTGCTGCTGCCACGACGCGCCTCCGCGGCACACATACACAGCATACGAAAAGCCTCCCATAGCTCAAGAACGACTGCCCAAACAAGCGAACGCGATGCACGATAGCCGAGAGCGGGGTCGAAGCGCGTGAGGCTGAAATATACGATGCCTGCACACTGGTCCGCCAAACGCCGCGAGGGTTCTGCGCCCGCCACACGAGTCGATACCAACCATCGTATTCATAGTGACGGCCTCGAATGGCGAAGACCTGCGCCACGTGCTGCGCAAGAGCTGGGTCAGTTCTACGCCGCGGCGCTCCGGGACGATTGCCATTCGTCGCGTGCGAGCTCGCTCCGATCCAGTATCGCGACCTTTGCAGTGTGGCAGAAGCAAGAGGCACGAGTTATCGAGCAATAGCGGCAACTCATCT